ACAGCGTGGCGTGTTGGGAAGCCGGCAAGGGTGGGCTCGAGGTCGCAGAATAACGCGCCGGCGACTTGCGTATCTCACCGAGTAGCCTGACAAGACAGCGTGTGCATCGAATCTGTGCAAAAGCGTGATAATGCGATGGCCCTGCTTGGTGAGATCCAGCCCGGGGATGACCGATCTGGTTAGTGTGCCAAGACGGTAGGTGGACCAGTTCGCAAGACGCAATGATCCAGGCATGCCACAAAGCACCCACGCCCGGACGGCCTACTCTGAACTACTATTCGATACTGTGCTGCCCGTCATCCCATATCCCATGAGCTCCACAAATAACCGTTACGACTGCCAGGAAGCCGCCCCGCTCGGAGAATCAATACTATTCTAGTCATCATACCGAACCATTACGGGACTATTGGGGGTTGTATGCGAACTGTTCTGTTAATACTGCGAATAATCCGGCACGAGCATTGACCTTGTTTTTTACCCGCGACCCTCGCCTGCAATCTATCAGAAACTCTGATTTTTTTGATCGGTCTCCTAACATACATGTGCACGGAAGCAACCTTAACATAATACTTTGCTTCACTAGCAGGGCCCATCCCAGTCGGGCAAAAGAGAGGTGAAGCTCCCCGTTGACAGGCTCGTTATCTCAGAGCTGGTCACCAGGCTTGCAATGTCGTCTCGTGTCAAATCACGCCTCTTCTCCATGTTAAGCCATACGTCATCGCACAGCGTCCTTTTCTCCCATGTTAGCAGAGCATTCACCGATAGTACCACCCAGACTCGTATCGATTTCCATAACAATCGAGTTCTCCAGCTTCCGCATTCAGTGGCGTTCTCACAACAGTGATGTCTCCAGGCCAGTAACCTTTAACATCAGGATTAACCTCACCCGTCGCTATCAGCTCCTCATAGGCAGCCTTCCTTTCTCTTCGAAATTTACCGACCTCTCCTATCACGTCAAACAATCTTCTGGGGCTAACTTCAGGTTCCCTGGGCTCAGGAACTGGGTGAGTATGATCAGTAGCAAGTTCGAGCCCGCTCATGGCTTCCAAAGGCAGCGGACGAACCAGTTGCTGACTGGGCTGTCCACACTCTTCATCACCAAAGAATGAAAAATCGTGCGACGCAGCTTCCCAAAAGGCCTCTGAATCAGCATCCTCAGTGGTTGACCTCGTAGGATAAGCGCGCCAACTGGTAGATATCTTCTTGGGTGCCGGCTGCGGAGAAGCCATCTCTAGGACAATCCGTCGGAGGGCAAACAAGCTGCGCGCATACTCCTCTTCAGCCACGGCACGCCTGCGACCTGGAGGGAGTACATAAGTGTTTCTGGCCCGTTGTCTAGCAATCGAAGCCTCATCTGCCGCATCTTTGATGAACTGTATGATATGTTCTACCACGTACTTTTCAGCTGCGATAGGTACACTGGTAAGAACCAGAGTGTGTAGATTGGGTAGCATTCCTGGATGCAGACGGGGTTCTTGAGATTGGCGATATGATAGCCGAGCTTTTATGTCTTCAACCTGATTAAGGGGAGTTTCTTGACTTATCGTTCCAAAAATAGGTGAAGATGGGAATTGCATATCAGGGGTAGGTGTAGGCGGAAACAGCGAAGGACTCCATGATGGGGTCAAGTCGCCCTCGCCACTACGTCTGTGGTTTTCAAAGCTTTTATGAAGAGGGCTGATTGGGGATAACGGCAAGCCCGTCTGATTTAGGTAATTTGGGGACTCTTGTTGGCTCAACAACAGCTGTGAAGTAATGATGGCAGCTGGACTTGGTGCAGCCACTGCCTTGTGGCCACTGGCAGCTGTGCTTGAAGATGCATGATTCGACGGTTCAGCTGGTGGGAAAGAGCCAGGCAATTCGACTGGGTATGAAGAATTTGCGATTTCATGAACAGTTGTGAATTCTGAGTCAAGTTCAGACATTGACAACTCCGTATTTTCAAGCTCATGAGCTTCTGGACGCTCATAAGCCCCAAATCCTCCACAAAGTTCTACACGTGGCGATTTAGCTCTCTCGATGGGAGCATCTTCTGTTACTATTTGATAGTTGAGTCTGATATACCTCAACTTGTGGCGTGCAAATTCGGGTAGGATGGGCACCAGCTTGGCTACGCTCGGTAGCTTCATGTCGTCTTCTCCAGAACCTAGGTCGACAGGACACGGATTTCTGATCGTAGCAGGCAACATGCCTGCATCCAGAACCTTAAGGCGCCCCGATCGTAGCAGAGAAGATATTCCTTCAATGGTGATGTTGTTTGCTGATAAGTAGAGATGTGATATCCCAACATCTCGTGCTTCCTCGATTGGTAGCGTACCAACGAAACCTCCAGTGAGCTTTTTACGAAGACTTCCTACAAGGTTCTCGGACTCGAATACATCCATTTCATTACCCCCTTGCTCTTGCTCAACAGGTGCCAAACGACCCCGGTGCGTATGTGGAGTGACTGCTATCTCTTTTAGGCAGAGTTCAAGGAGAAGTCGTGTACTGGTATCTGTCAAGAGGTTGTTGCTGATATCGAGACTTCTGACCCGACTTCTGATCGAGTGCGCGACTATCGAGAAATCTTCATCCTTCAGGCCAATACCGCAGAGATTAAGAACACGCAGGTTGAGAAGGTGCTTGAGAGCAGACAGTACCTCCTTGCCTCTAGCAGCTCTAGTTTTGGACAAATCCAAAGAGACAAGATCAGGGAAATGCGGAAGAGCCTCTGCAAGCCCTGCTAATGTGGCATTCATACAGCCCGAGGCATCAAGCAGTCTCAAACTGAACACTGGAAACTTAGGCCTTAGTCGTTGGCTTGGATAGCGAAGGCTAAGAAGGCTCGCATGGTCAAAAAATGGAAGACCATTGACTATCAAACATTGGAGATGAGGAAGGTATTCCAGACAGTCTCGAAGCCACTCTGAATGCGGACCAGAATATATTTCGACATGGGCAGGGGGAAGACAGAGCGTGTGCGTGAGCTCACACACGGAAGCGCGTGCATTGGGCAGAATACGCTTAAATCGCGTCAGAGCCACTGATGTGTGAGTTAGTAGGTATTTCCTGCTCTTTGCGTCATTCTTCTATACCGAAAACAACGTCATTCTGCTCTCCAAAATGAGAAGCTGGACTTCCCCAGAGGCACGGTGTAAAAATCTTGTTCCATTCTCGGGAGACCAACGTTGCCGAGCATAGTGCTTGTGAGGGTAGGTACGGCGCAATGAGTGCCCAAGCATTGGGGCAAGTCGCAGCTTCGTACGAGGGCAGGTCATCCATGTTGATTGCCGATCTCGTGTCAAGATAAACGCCGTGTCTCCACTCGAAGAGACGAGGGGAAGGTTCGGGACATATAAGCGCAGGATTCAGGATGGTGGCGGCGGCAGTGTTCGCATTGGCATGCAGGTTGCGCCAAGGTCGTCCAGCCGATGCATGACGCGGCAATTTCGATATGAAGGCCTTATGATGTTTTAACTTTGTGTGCTAAAGACATTGTCATGAGATTGTAGAATGAAGGATCGTAACTCATGAAAACGGCATGCGTTGGCCCTGCGTCACGGGAGATACACTCACGTGAGCGCCCCCACACCACTCCACTTCCCAATTCTCTGCGTCAGCAAGGACGGACAACATAAGACGAAAATTATCATTCCAGAAACTAGGTATCACAGAAAATGATTGACGGTGGCAACTTGACAATGCAACAGAAAGCATGAAACGCTGGTCATTTTCTCGTTTGGTCTTGCGAGTCCAAATGGATATGAAAAGGAGAAGAGTGGGAGGAACCACAAAGCTTAAACTACAGATTGCTGCTCTGCCCATTTCCAATATACAGTATGTTTAACGTTCATCAGTTTGTGTAATTACTGTAACGATGTTACAACTTCGCCATGTATCGGACCAATCCCAGAGCCGGATCGGAGGTAGTACTCGCCGCCCTCTTCATCAACCACTCGTTGTGAGGTCGGATCCGATTCGGATCCGACTAAGATAAGTATATAAGGAGACACTCCCTGTAGCTAGCTCTGTAGACTTTTGATATCCTTTCGTACAAGGCCTATAGGTGTCTATTCGAATTAAGGCTCGTTTGATGTCCCACGCACTCCCATATGCCTCTGAGTGACACTACCGCCGATACTGATCCGAGTAGTCTTGCCTGCGCCGTTACATTATATCAAAAGTCTCGTCCCAGCCGGTGACGGCTTCAAAACAATATCGCAGCTGTTTGTTCAGACTACGTTTAACCTCAAGTTATCCGGAACCGATCCGGATACTTACACCGTCACATCTGACATTCACCTAGGCAGGATCCCATTCGATC